CAGAGAAAGAAAAAGGTAATTAGTTATTTAATCTATTTATTTTATGTAAAATTAAATAAAAAAAGATTATTTATTAAACATAATTAATTATAATAATACGAGTTAAATTAATATAACCTCTGCAGAGGCGTGTCATTAAGGGGCTCCATGGACGTTTTAAATAAAAGTAATTATACCTGTTTAATTTCATATTTCAAAATCTTAAATAAACCTAAATAATAGTAAACTGTTCAACAAAGTCTTTTATTAATTTTATGAAAAATGTTTAAATATGGTTACACTTGCAGAAGTAATGCAAGATCAGAACACAAAATCTCTTGATCAGTATAATGCACCTTCATTTAAATCGCCCACATCTTGGTATACTTCAGACACAATTAATGAGTACATTAAAATGATAGTAAAACGGTCAGAAGGTGAAGTTTATGCAGTTGTCACTGATTTTATTGTAGCGTATCTTCGAGGAGGTTATCCAGCTGTAAGAAGATGGATAAAAAAAGATATTCACACAATAAAATTACTTTTTGTGCCCATGAATGTATATGAGAGTCATTGGATATTGACAGTGGTTAATATACCTGAAAAGACTGTGACATCATATGATAGTCTTAAGTCGTATGAGGGTCCCTATCCAATGGTATTAAAAAATTTCTTAATTGAATGGGAGATGGACAAAAAAGGAAAAGCTTCTACATGGACATTATAAATAGGTGAGACATCTCGCCAAACCAATGGACATGATTGTGGGCCATTTACTGTTGAGGTGGCAGAAAAAATGTCTCGAGGAGATACAACACCAATAAATGCAAATTTTATGCCTTTTATAAGATTAAGACACAAAAATGAAATTATTGCTGGCGAGCTATTCAATTAATATTTTTATGAATGAAATTTTATTTTTGTATTTTATATCAATTTTCTTAATATTCACTATAAATTGAAATTTTTATTTGTATACCACCAAACATTTTTTTACTTTTTCTATGTTTAATTGTTGTTTTGTTATTTTATTTTAATCTTATTTTTCATTGTAACATTTCATTTAAGAAATTCAAATTTAATATAAATTTATCTTAACTGAAATAATTTAATGTTCTTGTTATGTGAATATACAAATATTATAATATACAGTTATGGATACAATTAAGTTAAAAAGTCAGCCAATTATAAATTTTTAAATTAACAAGCGTATCTACTATCTTAACAACTTAATTTTAATTTTACTAAATGACGATTTATAAAGAATTTCATAACTTTTGTTTATTTTTTAAATACCATTTTAATTATAAAAAATTCATTTCTGTATTTTTTATGAATGCGGTATATTGAATAGGGGTAACTAAACTTATTTGTTTATAATTTTCTAAACTGATAAACTATAAAATAAATTTAAAAATGAACAAGTTCAGAATATTTCCGTTGTTATTATATTTTTGCTACGGATATTTTTGTTATCTAAATGACCCAATGAAACCCAAATAATTTCTAGAAATCTCTGATAAAATGTAGATAAATAAATACGTGTCGTCAAATCCTATCAAATTATCTTTAATTTTGTTATTTATTTAAAATACCATTTATTTTATAGTAAATAAATATAGTATATTATAAAAAAAGTTAATACCAATATATTAGGCATTTTTTTTTTAAGTCGGAGGGTGTCCAGACATGGAGGACACCCCCTCAAAATACGCCACTGAGTATATACAATTATTCGTTCGTAGTAGCACATCGACTACCGATAATCAATGTGTCCATTTTGCGACGCGATGTATTTATTACATGTTTTGTTCTTATTTGTTCCATGTCATCGAGTAGTGGAAATTCTCAATAGATTATTTATTTTCAAAACTTAATTGTACAGTCGGTGGCAGGTCCACATAATTCCAATTCCACAATATTACATCGATTATAACATTGCATTTACGATAAAACGATATTTTGAAAAAAAAATACAAGTCCAAAAAATAAGTCGCAGGGGGGTAAATATGACCCATTTCAATTTTGATGAATATTTTAAGTCATACATTTTTTTCGAAGGTATTTATTTATGAAAATCGATCCAATATTATTATAAAAAGCATATTTTAAATTTATATCTATGTACACCTTTTATGCAACATAATACATCCGTTTTTATTTATGTGGGTGTATACTAGACCCCCACGCGACTGTTTAAGGGTTAAGTTTTAAATGCAAATATTTGTATATGTTATATTGTGTTGAGTATATTTAAAAATTGCAGACTAAAATTATTAAATATAGAACTCAAAATAATAGATTTGCGACAAATTTTTTTTTTTTTTTTTTTTTTTTTGTACTGTATCTCTATCATATTATCTATTATTAAATATTTTTTATGTTCATCCCTTATGCTTTATTAAAGTAATAAGTAATAAGAGTAATTAAGGGGCTAGTGTTAAAAGAATCACTTATGTATTGTATGTTATATCGTGATATCAAAACTAATATTTTTAGAATTTATTAAATTTGGAGGATCTAATTTATAGTAAGTTGTATTGTGTGTAATGAATAAGCTCAGCTTATCAACAACGTTTCCGGAGTAATTCAATTTTTGTAAAATTGTATAACATCTATTATATAGTTATCTGTAAAGGTAATTATTATTATTTTTATATAAATTTTGTTAAATTAATACGAATATTTTTTGGGTGAAAATAACTAATTCGATATTTTCGGTATGATTAGGTACGAAGTACGAAAAGGCGATACAATATTTGAAAAATCTATATTGATACACAAAAGAATATTGCTGCCCATCTCAACAAAATAACGATTATATTTTCAGTGGTATAATCTAAATGTGATGCAAGATAAAAAAGAAAATTATAAATAATAAATTTTTTTTTTCTCGACCGGCTTATCGTGAACCGTTCTGGAACTGCTGTTAGGCATTACTTCAGGGCGGCATGTAGTAAAGCCTGGAGGTGCTAAAATCAAGTCTTGGATGTAGAAACACCTCCTGACAACCAGTAGTTGTACCTTATAAATATATTTCTGCTGATAATGATATCGGATGCCAATAAAACATAAAAAATCAACTTATTCCTAGTAAGTAGTTAGTAGGAAATACCTAAATAAATTGTGTTAGTCGCCTTAAAATTATATTCTTGCACATATACATCAAACATTTTACGACTATATTCATTGTGTTCGCTATGCTGACTATAGGAATTTATTTTTAAATTAAAATTCAATGGCGAATTTTAAAAAGTCTATAAGGGAAATAACCACTCCTCTCGTGGACCAAATATCGATAATGCCGAAAATATTTCTTTACGAAATTCAGAACCTGTATGGTCCTAAAAACTTTTTTATTCAATTATCACTTTGATTTTTAGGAAAAAATATTTCTCTGGCACGCTTATTAAAATAAAAAAAAATAAGTCCCTCTCCCACAAAAAATGAAATCTAAATATGCCCCACTTAAATCTGTTACGAAATTTTGTAAAATTAAAATTTTTTTAATTCAACTAACACGCAATTGTACAAGCAATAAGATTTTACTCATTTTTTTTACAATACGGATATTTTTTCAATTTATTTACATGTAATTAATTTTTCACACATTTTATAATAAATATACTTTATTTTTTTGTGAATATTTGAAAATAATTTTTTTTTTATTATTAACATTAAAAGATAACCTGAAAACGTAATACTTTCGTAATTATAAGTTATCATTTAGAATTTAACACATTTACACGATTTAATAATATTTTAAACTTAGTGTCATATTAATCATGATATTAAAAATTAAGCCTTATGTCATATTTTTAATACCACAATCAGTTTGAGTAATTGTGTATATTGAAGAATAAATGAGCTACTTACAAGCTAAGCAGGTAATCATTTAACATTAAATAATATATTATTACAATGAACACTTTAAGCGAGCTCCTTTTATCAAGTGTTACCTAAGGTATAGAAAATATGAAATCACTTTAACTCCTTTAACATAATAATAATAAACGCATTTACTTTTTTAAAAAAAAAAAACATATACTATTTTGCTTAATTGCTTGAACAATTTGTCTCAACGACGGACGTTTGTTTTGTATTTAACTAAAAAATATTCAATAATATTATGCTTTTTCTTTAAAATTTCAGGCACTTTATTTATCAAAAAAACTTAATTAAAAAATTTATTTGGTTTTATTACAACTTATCAACAAAATTAAATTCAGAATAGATAAACAAATTACATATACTTTATTAATTGAATTTATTATGAACAAAATGACACCTATACATTGGTCCATTTTACAATTATTATGATTTTATAGGCAGTAATCTTACAAAATTTGTGTAACATACGATTATAAACTGTTACAGACATAAATGATGATTGAATAAAAGAAAAACCGATGAAAAATGTACAAACAAAATAAATAAACACTTACAAAACTTAACGTTTTTTTAACATTCATGCAAGATACATAATATACAAATTAAAATTCTTTGTTCTCTTATAACCAACAATCACGCAAAAAACAATAATTGTCTTTGTATTTTAAACAAAATAACGCATAATGTGTGAATATGTATCATTTTAATGTACATAAAAATAAGTTTTATAAAAAAACATTATGAATACATGAGCGTAAAAGCAAAAGTTTATAGTCTTATGGTAAGATAAATTAATAAATTCAAATAAATATATATTATATAACTTTTAAATGATACTATACATAACATAAAATCACAGTGCTTTACGATTACACTTACTTAATAAAGTCTTAAGTATTATTTTCATTAAATTTTTTACAAAATGAATTTTAAAGTCAACACTGGTATATTTTATGTAGGTACTTTTGTACTCGTGCGATTCTTAAATTTATGATTTGATCATTTTAGTGAGCATTTGAACATAAATCATATTTTACAACATATCATACATATATAATATATAATACATAAAAATCTTAACATAAAATTATAATTTGTTGTCAATACTTGACAATCAAACATCGGCATAGACTTAATTGATCAGGAACATTCTAGGTGAAATAGTCCAGCCCGTTATGTCGACAGGTAACTTAAGTAGTTTTATACTTTATTGTCAAGCGTAGTAAATATATAAAAAGAAAATAATACAACTATTTAATACACCAGTTCAATTTTTTTATACATATGATTCTTCATCTGCATATGTTCTAGGGACAACAAAGCGTTGTGTTTGACTACATTCACTAAGATAATAAGAAGTAATAGGGGCACGGCGATTGGCAGGTGGAGGTGGTCTATAAGGTGGTGGTGGTGGTAATGATCTTGACCTTGCAGCAGCCACAGCCTTTTCTTCCTTACGCTTTAAACGCCCACGAAGCTTTACAGTATTGTCAACATGGACAGGTGGCAAATGTCTTAACTTCAGAGAATCATTAGCAATTTCATTGCCCCTTGAGTTACTTCTGGAAACATGTGGAGTACAATCTTCATCTGATAATGTACTTGAATCTTCTTCCTTATCCCCAGTATTACTGCAGTCTTCGTTTTGAAATCTTCTTTCAGATATAACTTCAGACACCCTTCTAATAGGAGCAATTTGAGGTTTTAATTCTTCTTTAAATACTGGTTTTATTGTCAGTTCTGTATTATAACTATTTGGGTGCAATGATTCAACTACAACTTCAGAATTTTGGCCAATGTTGTAGTAGTCAACTTTATGGTAATCTTGTGGTGGAAGTGATACACGATTTTGTGCAGCAGGCTTATTTCTTCTTGGTGGTGCTGGAGGAGGAATATTATCTAATACAGATTCTTCAGATGCAGTTCTACGTACAGCTTCTTTAGATGGAGTATTAGAACTGAGTCGTTTAGATCTACCAACAGTTCCTAGTCTAAACCAAGCTTGTCTCTGAAAATTAGCATTTATACGTTCTTCCCATCCTGGATAAACACGAATATACTCTTCTGGCATAGATATGGTTGGAGTAACCTTAGAATGTGGGTCAAAAGCCGGATCATATCCACTAGAACTTGTTGATCCACTTTCTTCTTCATCAGGTGTATATAGTTGAGAATCAGACAATGTAAGTCCAGAGTCTCGGCTTAAAGATATTTGATCTTTTCTAGGTGGTGGACTAACTTCTAGACTGTCAATTGAAGAATCATCTCTTCTCATAGCTAAAATTAAATGAAAATTTATGTTAAAAAATTATTTTATTTTTTAATAAAAATGTTCACTTTATATACAAGTTGAATATATCTAATTAACACCTATTATAACTTTTTGTTTTTAATAATTTATAAAATTTTTAGACTATTACTTGTTCTTCATAATAGGACAAAAAAAATAAATTTTCTTTTAATTAAAACAAATAATAAAAAAATTTATTTTAGTATAGTCTAAGAAAAAAATTCATGATCATTATTTATAATACTTATGAAATTAAAATTTAAAATTTACTATTACAATATAATATATAATTTTTATCATTTTTCAGAAGAGTCGTTTAAAATGTTTTAATTCGATAAGGAATAATATAAATGTAGATTTTGAAAATACAATAATATTTTTTTAAAACATAATTTGATTGTTATAGTTGATAAAAAAGATAAAGTGAAATTAGATATTTATTTGCAAGTTAAACTCATTTATCCAAAAATTGAACGATCCACTTTTACTCTAACCTCCATATATATATATATTAGAAATTATTTTAATTCATAATAAATAATTAAGATATCATAATAATGTACTGTAAAAGTTCAACTTACAATCTGATTCTTCAGTTCCGGAATCTCTTGGATCTCCAAGTAAATTTGGTACATGAGGGCCACACAAGACTTCACAATGTGTTATCAACAGCTCTACTAATGCAGGTACAGTCCTTAAATCTTCAGTTGGACACATAGCAGGAGAGTCTGACCAAAGTAGAGATGGTCCCACACATACTCCCAAGTTAGCTGCTGACATGAGATTATGATTTGAACGTCTTGAAATATGGTAAAGAACACACAAAAAGTGGCACAACAGATGGTAATGAGGTTTGGGTAATTGATCAATTATCCTAAAATCAAAATTAATACTTAACAAGGTGAAAAAAATTGACTTTCAAAAATTGACTTACAGTTTTATTCTATACAATTTTGTATGTAAATTAGAACAATCTAATGCAGATCTCCATTTTGGGAAGAGGTTTGTACACAATAAAGGATTAGGCAAAGAGCGTAGCATATCTTTAAATAGAGCTGCTGTGACAAGCACTGGAATATTTTCCAAACATACATCATCACAACTATCCATTTTCTCTCGCAATTCACGTACAAGCCTAGCATTTGCAGATTTTCTAAATATTCCTTGAGTAAATGGTCCTTTAGAAAAAATTTGTTGTAACATTGCCTAAAATTAAAAAGAACAATTAATAACTATATTAATTATATTAAAAACATACATCTCAGTAATAATAAATAATCAATAATATTTTTAGTATGAATAAATGAAAATTTTATTTTTTATAAATTATAGTTAATTAATATATTATGATGCTTTTAATATTATAACAGTCAAGTTATGGTGGTAGATTTTAAAAAATAGTCATAACATAAAATAGTCATTACTATTTTAGAAACAATTTATTGATCACTTAATAAAATCCTTACTACAAAAAATAAAATTAACACTTTTTTTTTTATAAGCTAGTTAAATATTTATTGTGTCATTTAAAAAAATTTAAGTTGACACTTTTACAAGATATAAGGTGTTATTAGTAATATTTAAAAATAAAAAACATTCTGTGAGCTAATTAAGTTTGCTATGATAAATAATACATTTTATTAAAAAGAAACTAACCATGACAGGTTTTGGAAGATTGTCGCCATCGCAAATTTTATTAAGAGGAACACCAAACAAGTTTCCTCCATTTTCTTTACTGCTTGTTTTCTTAAAGACTTGACCAATTTTTATACGGCCAGAAGACTTTTTTGGTGTTTTTTTGTTGATTTCATTTTCATGAGCTTTTAGATTTCTGTAAAAATTTTTATCAATATTTTTATTATTTAAATTAGTTAATAAATTAAAAATATTATTGCTCGGTAGTCTTGGAATTATTTAAAACAGTATAAATATAATTTAATTTGATATTACAACAAAAGAAAATGTTTTACAATAATTAAAAAAATATTTTACAATTTAACATTCTAGTTAAAAATGTAGGAAAAAATTCAAGTAAAATGACCACAACTATACTTCACCTCCACTGATTACAAATCATCAACATTTTATCTACAATATATTAAGTAAAGTGTTGTCATAGAATTATTGGAAAAATACAAATTACAATACATAAAATAAAAATATTAGAAACTTGTCGTAATTTGTCATAATGCGCATTTGTTATTTTATAGTAATCACATTAACAAGACACAACGCGTGCGTTGGAAACGTACAGAGAATCGGTCGCATTATGGTAAAATTGTTGTTTTGTTATCGAGATCCTGTTATCTCACAGACGGGTTGTTTTATTTATAAAATTGGAGGAATTTCTATGTAAACAAAACTTATACAGAATACGGTAACGACCATTACTAGATGGTGTGAGTTCGTAAAACGTATTTCGACAGCTGATAAAGAACAATAAAATCATCGAGTACTAATAATAATAGCGGTTGTAATTGTTTTATTATTAAACGAAAGTCTCACCTCAAAATAAAATGACACCTAGCCAGCGGGTCATGTATGTTGTTACAATGGTCCAAGTCGAAACCCTCTTCCGCACTTAGCCCGTCTCTCAGACAGCTCAGTTTGACGGAATACGGTTTCTCGTGACCATATAGCGGATAAGGCGGTTCCTCCCTAGGAGTTTTGGCCAATAGCTGAAATTGTCCAGGGTCCGTGTCCCGCATTTCCAAATGGTCCAACGCTATTTTTATACAATCCTTGGCACTCTCGTCCGGACCGATTGAAAACGTTTTACACTGGAAAAAAAAAATCGTCACCCAATGACATATCAAATACATCCGACACTAACACACGAATTCATCAGAGTTCTGCTGGCGATGAGTATTATACACTTACATATTCTATTCCGGAATTAAGGTCTTGATAGAACACTTGGATGTTGGTGGTCGGGGGTTCCTTTCGAATTTCTTCTTGCGATTCTTCGACCAATTTCGACCACCACAAGTTCCTCGTGGCTTGAGTACTAAAATTAAACCATATTTCATCAGCAAACAATCAAGTAATATAAATATAATCAATTGGCAGTCAATAATAAAGTACATGCGATAATAAAACTAAAGAGTATGTAAAACATTAGACGATTAAGCACTGAACAACTACCCTCCTTTACATACAAGAAAAGTAAATTCTATAGGCGCCACGCTTAGAGCGGTTTAATAAATAACAAAAAATGTAAACTACATCCTGCTCTGGTATGATTAACAGAGTACAGAAATATGTAAGATATACTTCATAAAAAAGAATCAGGAATGCCGTTAGCATATTTTGAATAGCTATTTAGCTATTTTAATTAAAGTATATCTAAACAATTTTTAGTTTTTAATATATCTAAATACTTATGGTAATTATTATTATCAGTTCAAAGAATATTTTTAAAATTCATTACTAAAATAATAACTAATAACCAATGTTAAAACTTACGGATTGGTGTCTTTACATGAGCTGTTATTTTTCGGGTTGTCATTTTTTTTGTTAGATATTTTATGCAAACTATTAGGTATTAATTTATTACCGATAAAAGAAAAAAACTTTTTAATACGATCAAAAAACATGTTGCCGTCACGATGTTAACGATATAATTTTTTTCAATAAACAAAATGTCGTTATAGAAGAATGAAAAAATTATTGTGCTAATAATGTCTCTTAAAAAATACATCGCTCAGTCACTACTATTTGACAATAACTGTTACACGGAGGACCGAACATTTGGACTACTGATATTGAACAATAAAAAGGAAGAAAAAAAATTTCGATAAAAGATAAGAGAGAGTAGGTTAAATAGGTATCTAATGAAAATTGATTTTTTGTTTATAATTGAAAAATAATCTGATAAAATAAATAATTAAACAGATAAAACGACGTAATACGGTTAAAAACAACATTGACCATAATCAATTTTTTTATATAATTGAATAAACTATAAAATTCTATACGATAATTTATACATGTAAATCAATTATAGTTATTTTTATCTGTGTTGTCTACAGTTTATCTAAAAATGTATAAATTAAGCTGACGTTCCGTTAAAAAAATATCGTGGTATTAAATTTTATAACGGTTTTTTTTTAATTTGCCGAAATTATTTAGGACATTCAATTACCTCTCAGGCAAATATGAGTGTTACAGGTCAAAACAAATTTTGATCTAAAAAAATTTTAATTTTTTTTTGTGATCAAATTACACAGTATCATTACAAATAAATAACAATTTTTTACGCTAAAAGTTAACATATTAAATTTTAACTTTAATTTAGAAAAAAACCACCAAATCAGCTTGTTAATTTTATTATTTACAATTTACACGAATAACGAGTATCTCTAGAACTATTATATTATTGAATCTAGTTTTAGACACGTTTAAAAAAACCGATGGATAATTAAAAAATAATTGTATGCTATCAAATAGTAACCTGAGAAGAAAACGAACAACAAGAGTCTATGATGTAGGAGTTTTCTATTCATTGTGTAAAGACACGTTAGTATTGTTTGTAAAAAAAAATCAAAATGATAAATACTTTAACAATTTCCGGTATTACTTTTTGTACGGGTTTCAAAATAAAAGAAAAACTGAGCTTATTTGTACTGAACTGGTGAGAGTTTTTGACGCTTGTAAATGTCTGACCAATGCAAGGGCGCGACCTTACCTACACTTTAAGTGTAAAAACCTACACTTAAAAATAAATTATAAATGAAATCAGTTTATAATATCTCCATACATAATTTTGTCGCAAATAAAAATATCAAAATAATCTGTCAACATGGTATCTTGTGTAACATGGATGATTAGATACGTTTACACGTATAAAAAACAACGAGAAAACAATTGATAAATCTCAAACAAAAGAAGATAAAGTATTTTTTTAAATAAAAATAAAGTAAAGTCCATTACTATGTGTGCTTTATAGTCGTTGTAACACAAATGTTGGCAAAACACCGAGATGATAGCGATTAATATAATAGTAATGATAATCGATAAGCTGATCCGTGAACGCTCATTGATTTAATAACACAAATTGTGTTATTATGCGAGGCAATAATAATACACAATAATAATTACACACTCATGCGTTTGTATCCTATGGATAACCTATGAACTCAAAGAGCCGTTTTCGTTTAATTAAGAGACTCATTTAAGTCGTCAATCCGTACAGTGAGTACCGTTAGTGAACCTCCTTTTCCGATACAATAATGCCCCGTATGTCCCCATAGAGTTCTGGTGATGAGCATACTATTATTATTATTATTAAATTGATGCTTACACAGAGAGATTATAAATTTTTTGGATCACTGTCACACAATGGACGGTTCAAAGACCCTGACAGTAATAAACAAGAGACGCGAGGCCCCGCTGAGACCACACCCCGCGAACTCACAACGGTAAAAAATTAAATGTGGATAACTTTGATGATTCTACTAACCTAAACACGGCCACGTAGTTGGTGGTAGGCCATCCGATGACGAAAGACGTATCCGAAGACCTCGGCAGTTCCGCCACCTCGTCCACGACGGCCGGCGTGTCGTTCAGCCAAATTTCCGACACCCTCACTTTGTCCTTGAGTTTAAAATTACCACCGGACTTTGCTTTGGCCACCAGCAGCAGGTCGTTGAACAAGAACAAGTGACGCTCCTGGCAATTGACACCCTACGCAAAAGTAACAATAAGGACGCGACCGTATTAAATAAAACAATGGCACAACTTACATTTATGAACTGAACGGGGGACTCCATAATGAATTTCCTCGGACTGTCACTCCTGACTTTGTTGGGAGTGCTAGGAGGTGACTCCGACCGAAGAGATTTGGAAGACAAGGCCCTCCTTAGAGCGGCCGTCCCAGTTCCACCCCTCTTCCTAATTAATCCTTTCATTTTCTAAAAATTATAATCAAGAAATATTAAAAATATTTTAAAAGCAAACATGCTAAAGAGTTCAAAAATAGTGTCAAGTCGACAAAAATCATAAATATTTATAAATAATTTTTAAAAAATGACTGATTTTTGACAATAATCGACTACTCATATTTGAATTACAACTATGCACTTTGAAAACTAGAACACAGCTTAACACTTAAGAACAATATAATTTATGAATAAGAACGCGTGCACTTACCATTGTTAGTGCTTCTTTATCATAAAGCCTGAGGAAGTCGTTGGGGAACACATCCTGAATTCGTTCCAAATCACTTTGTTCGTGAATGCGTTTTATAGTCTGCAAAGAAAAAGCGTAAAATAAAAACCATAACATGTCAAGCGTTTGTGACGTACACGGGATACGCGAATTCAGCATAGAGCACAAAACGCTACACGTAGTCGATTCATAAACAGAAACCTAACATAATTATTCGACTAATTAAATTTTGTTTTTTATTACATGCATATACGTATGTAATGTCGTAGACAAAAACCGAATGCCGGAAGCAAACTTTCGAGTTCATTCATACTGCGGTCGGTGCGCGCGAAACTACAGTGAACAATTTTACACAAACTGATAACTAATTAAATGGATAACAATGAGTCGTTTCGGAGTTAATTGAAATCTCGACCGGAGTCGCTGGCGGCAGGACAAACGGTGCCCATTTATGCCGCAATTACATTATACTGTGCCCGTGTTATACGGCTGATTGTGCGAGTAAACCGCGTATGTCGTTTGCGCGTTGGCCGCGAGGAATGGCGTCGTTGACTTTCGCGAATCTTACCATTTGGTGCGTCGTTATTACGACCGAACAACACACGAATAATGTACAGACGGTCATAGTTTTACTTGAATAATATCGAGTGGACGAAAAGCATAACGGTGCGGGAACGAGACGGGTCGATGGTGAAAAACGCGTAGGAGGCCAACTAATGATTTGTGTGTTTACAATAATATCTGTAATACAATATATGATTGTCGACACTGCGGATCGTATTCGCCGATATCGAAGCATTACGCGCACTAGCCTAAAACATGATATACGACCGCGGTGTCGTTGTGACTTAATTATTTTTATCGGGTAAAACCCGAGGCGTTCGTCGCCAGTGCGCACAATGCCCATAAATTCAACAAATCGAATTGACCGCACTGTTATCGCCGCGCTCTACTAACTCATCTGGATCCGTTCGCCTCGAGAGTTGATGGCCACGCGACGCCTCTTCCTAAAATTATAATACGCATACAAATGGCGAATAAACGCGGGGGCACGGCTGGACCAATATGGTCATTGCGGCGTTTCGCAGGCCCCGTGCACACAGCGGCGTCTCCTTGGCACATTTGGCCCCCGTACAATATGAATCCGTTACCGCAGCAAGTCATCCGCAGTTTTGGGTGTGGTGCGGCCACCGCAGTGTCATTAGCACTTGGAGCACAATTTTTAGTACCCACAACGGTATACGAACGCTACGGATTAGACCAACTGGTTTTTAGTGTTTTTTTTTTTTTTTTAGCAGTAATTAATTACGATGCGTTTGGAATTGGAGCGACACGCCGATTTAACGCCGAGCTCAGGAGTAGGTTAAAAAACGTATAGTCGTCGTGTACGATAATGAGAACCGCGACATTATCAATGGGTTAGAAGAAGAATGGAAAAAACACACACTCTGCAGATCCGTTTCAAACGCGCACACGGCCCGCAGCAGACAGCTCGCATTGTGGAATTAAATCCCAACAAAAATAATAATAATACAAGTGGGTCGTTTTTATCAAAGAAAACCAACGGTTCAAAGGTCCCCACAAAGAACGGCCATTATTCAGTGGAAAATTATAATTTTTTTTTATAGTAGGCGAGAGAAAAAGTGGTTGTTCTTTGTAGACCGAAGAAAGTGGGTCTCCTCTAGTCCGGACACAATGCCACTGTCTGTTTTATATATCGACACCAGACTATAATCATATCGACGGATACGTCAGAGACTGTACGCAACGCCCACGGATGGTGATTAAAATAAATAAGGAAAATAATAATCATGATATTGTAATAATTGTGTTGGGCTTACTTGTTTGACAGCACTGCTGGCCATACAAAGGTCATGGTACTCGGCACCTCTTCCATGTTCTGGTCTGGTTTCGTCCAGCAAACTCTGGAAATACGTTTCGTATTGGGCAAGCCTCTGCACCTGTTAACAGATTAAGAAAAAATAACATTAGTGGCCTTCGATAGAAGAAACATAGCTTGTGTTGTTATCGCGGCAACTCCCTTGACCGTGACCGCACTTATTCAGTTCGAGATGATAAAACAGATAAATCCTTAGGGAAATTTACGCGCACAAATATGTGTACTATTATGTATGTTATACGAATAATTTGATTACATTGGCGATTACAGCCTGCCGAAGGATTCTAATTGTTCAATTTCAAAATTACCATTTGCTACAAATGGCGCGGCTGCAGGTATTTTGATAAAACGGATATGAATCGAGAGACGAAAAATATTATTATTATTCAATGAAATTATCTAACGTTTAACACCCATTTGTCAGTCAGTAATTGTTTTGAAATTACGAGTCTAATGGTAATCTCAACTTCTAATCAAGTACTTGACGGAGTAATCGATCCTAATTACTGAATCTAGCGGCAAGACGGATACAAGTGTTGTAAACATCTAAAAGCTATTTACCACGAGTGTATATTAATTATGATGTTTTTACTATAAATTGACAACGATGTAACTACTCTGTTACTGCATTTGGATTAAAATTCGAAAACTGTAGGAATATCTCGTCGTTGTGGCCAAGTCGAGGATTGGTCGTCGAGAGTCATTAAATGACAAATAAAACCTGTAGAATTTTTCTTTTAAACGTTCTCGGAAACGTGTAAAAGTAATCTGATACAATAACCGACACAGCTTCCTGCTGAGTCTCCGCGGGCGAAGGAGAAACGTGACACTACGACCGTCCCTGGGCCTTAAACGTGTTGCATCGTACAAGCATCGCCCTGACGTCCGTTTCGCGCCTACAACATGCGTAGACCTTGTGCGCCTATTGCAGCAGCGGTACAATTATGGCCTAGTATTGTATCATTAAGGACTTAACACTTTTTAACGCGCACGTACTGCACGCCCATTCACCAGGGAGAACAACCCATACATCATTTGTGTCTATAGATATACGAGACATCGCGGCCTTGAACAATGCGCATAATTTCTCGCAATTCATGCACGTCCCAGAGATCTACATTATATCATTGTGATCTACAACTATTGCATTATTCAGGTGAGCACATACATGCGCATCCGCCTTTTTAATGTATCGTGTTCCATTTTGGTTACTGTCCGAGTTCCTTTTTGTCTAAGTATTACATTCAAAAGCGCGTTCGAATATACGGCCTTGAAAGCTATCATGATCCATTGCTTTTTTACTTTAGTGCATCAATTTTATATAATTGCAACAATGAATTTTCAAGGAAATGACAATTAACAGCGATAATTGTCATAATCATTGCGCTTCGTTGGGAAAAATTCACGACCCAAGAATATCAACAACAAAAAAAAAAACAATGTAATGTCTCCGGTATGTTATTTGAGCATTCAAGTGGTGGCCAATTCTTTTAAAGTACCGACGTAATAAAAAAAGAATAACGCATTGAAAGCGAAAGAAAAGTTTAGCGGTTTTTTTTAGACAAATTATAATCGTATGTACTTGGCACATTGTTTTTTTTTTTATATTATCTTAATCGATAGTTCGAATGACATGAAATTGTTATTTATTAGCATTCGCGTCACACCAAAACTTTAAGGAACGTTAATGCGTAATTAAATGACCATTGCACATTTTGTACAGTAGTTTTTTTATTACACCAGTATGCAGTTGGTATTTTATGCTATTCGTGTACAATTGTAAAAGTAAACAAAGCATTGTGACGTAAAATCAACGCGCTAGGGAATAAACCAATAATCATGATATTAATTACATCTGACGCCTTTAAACAATAGAGATTCTGATCTAATTGCGGCGACCTTCAACGTACTCATATATATGACCAGAAAGTAGCATACGTTTGAGATTGCCAAAAAAAAAAAAATACTATACAAAAGTAATCATCTTCGAACAATTTCATCATCATTCCTATTCAATCTCTGACAAAGTCAAACAAATATTTCTAATAATGGTTGTATTCAATTGGAAAGGTCAGCTTTGAAAAATGAATGACTTGAGAGACTTACGAGTATCAAAATACTCAATTCAAGTGCTCGGTTGGATATCATGAAAATTATTCTAATCCGTACAAACATTACCGTCTACCACTCGATGTTATCTCATTCGGGTTGCTAATTTTCACGGTCGTCAGTTATTATATCAGTATTATCTCAATCATTAGTCATCGAGATGAGTAATTCAAAGAAAAAAAAAATATTGCGCTAGGATGAAAAGATCAGCTGCATTACATAGCGGGTGACTGATGAGTAACTTGTATTTTATAGTATTGTAATTAGTAATACGTTAATATTGGACAATTTGAAAAGAAAAATAGGTGCAAGCGTTCTGAGTAACGTTACACATAGTGTAACCAAATACATAAAATATTGTACCGTAAGTCGTTGAATGGGCCCGCGGCTAATGAGTACACACTCAATATGTTGAGCATGGATCTAAATTGTACTTTATGCTTCATCAGCAGTATGGATGTGTTAACGATTATAATTAAGAAAAGAAGGAGATAACCGACAGACCGGAACCAAGAATCGAGTGTCGAACAATGCCTGCATGTAACCAGCAATCGTGTTGGCGTTGCAATCGACTTGCACCCCGTGAGCTATGGGTCCTTTTTTGGAAAAAACATTTTTCGGCGTTTCACGGTCTACACGATTTGGTTTGTGTTTTTCCTGCCGATGCAGAGAAGACGAAAGGGCGACACCGACCGTGGCTATACGCATGCTTGCATAATTTAAAATCACAAACCTGCACACATAACGGTTAAAGTACGCCTGCGGACAAAACGAACCAGTTTTGTGTTGACATTTTTCGACTTGCGCAACGGCAATCACTGGGATGCGGCACAGAAGGCACTTCAGTAGGCGCAAAGACAAATTTTTTATCTCATTAATTTCCAAAAAAACGCTGTTCAGCTACGCTCGGACATATTATGACAAATCAATCTTGAATATAAAACCGTTATAAGTTCATCGCCTTAAAAGTGGCATCCCGTCCGAATAAGTCGAACGTTCCCAATGAAAACTCTAATGTTATAGACTTATCATATATACGGTTCGCGCAACAATGAGGTTGTGTTTCGAAGGAATACTTTTATTTCCGCGTCATGTAAATTAATGAAGGTATCACTGTATTGATTTCGTTAAGAGACAAACGAATACAAAGTTATAATTAATATTTCAAGACTAATACAATACAACCAAAGCAACACATAGCGGCTGCTGTAGACTACGTAGGGATAACATTAACAACTATTGACTTATTATTTTGATTGATGTATTTTAATCAGATAAAGAAAATTATGATCACTAATCAATGAATGTTAAACTTAAACGTACACGACTGAAACATTCGTATATAGATTTTGACTAGATAACTTTTTTAAGCAACAAGTTTATTTGAGTACCGAGTGCTTCAGTTTTTAATTCTGTTAAAAAAGACTGAAGAGGTTATAATAATTTATAAATTCAGATAATATTAATTATTATTCAAACTAATTAGACTTTATTAAGTAGTTAAAATTGATTGTGCATTGCTCGTAATGCGACTCTACCGATAATAATATTCTATTGTTTTAAAATGAAAATACTACAATAAATTTTTCTTTAAAAGATATTTGTGGGTAACATATCTAATACATAATTCGGATTATGTGTTGTGTGTAATGTTATTTTATAATTCGAAGAGCGTGCGTACATACAGTATGTGATGAGCACAAATGTAATGGAAATAATAACAAATAATAACAATAATAACACAAATATACAAACGCGTATAATAATAATATGTATGTACAAGAATTATTATTATTAAGAGGCGGCACCTGGCGGTGTAATGCGTCCGACGAATAATAATTATGACAAATCTACGCGGCAATTTGTACATCTCACAAGAGTGCACGAGAATATTAATGCCCCCAAGGTTAACAATGACGACCAAGAAGAAAACGCCGCATTTCGGTCGATCGCGAAAATCTCACAGACAACATTGTCTTAAGTGTTTGTTGTGTGAAATTCGCACAGAGTACACTTTTTTAACGACGCACGCGACATTTCCTGTTGTAATTACCGCCGGTAATAGCTGCGAAACAAAAATACGTTGTCTTTATTGCGCAAGGGATAGGATTTATAAAACAAAAATAGCTCAGAGTAGAGAGCATTGGTCGTCGTCAGCCGCATGAAAAGAACCAGTCGTTTCCATGTTTGAAACGGATGTAATACCATAAAATACGACCAGAACGTGCAATGTCTAAAGACAAAACACCAGATACACAGGTCGTAGTGGTCTCTTACACGTTGACTTCGACCCGCAAGAAAACGGTCGGAGGAAGCCAAAGCGGAGTAGAGCCTTGTTTTTCCTCAACCGCGCAATGACAATAATTATTATTAAGAGTTGAATCCCACGAGAAACTACTCCTCCGATCGCCCAACGCTCACTCGCATAATGTTATGTAATTTAACATGAAAACAAGGACGGTCAAAGCTTCGAGATCACCACCGCAGTGATTTTATGACGGTCATTGAAATTCCCAAGAATTAGTATTCGGTATTAAGCAGAATACAGTGCAAAGCCTAAACGTCTGCTATGCACATGCGGATTGGAATAACAAGAATCGTAGAATCAAAACGATTACCGAAATAACAGGCCCCGGATGTTGCACTGCAGTAATTTTTATACTGTTAAAAGCCAATGAAACACGATCGAATCTCTTCGAACGGAAATTAAAAACTCTCGGGCGCGTTCTACCTGCCACACATAACATCTGCTTAAGTGACTGCAGTACTCGTTTTGTGCTCTAGGTCATATTCATCTAGCCGCGTGTTGTACTTGTCGAGGGATTTACGCAATTTCATACGGAACTCCCCCACACCGTACCCGTGTAATAGTCGAACACAATCGTTTTGTTTTCACCCCGGAGCGGCTTTGCAGTTAATTATTATTTGTTGTACATGTCACGGACCGCACTA